CGGATCTGACTCAACAGGACTTAACATCATCAGGGACTCTCAGAACCTGTTGACTACAGTTTGCAGCTGACCTAAGAATTCTTGCATTTGCCCCACAAGGGGGGGGGGATGCTAAGAGCCAGTGAAGGGGGGTCATTAGACACATTAGCAGGGATGAGTCTTTAAGGGTGGCGCTGTGGGCTAATGCATCAGACTGCAAAGTCATTTGAACTAGAAGGTCGGTGGTTCAAGCTCACTAGCTGTTCCTTGGATGCCCTACACAGGGTTGCTATAGGTCAGAATCAACTCGAAGGCACGTAACAACAACAACATTGGAAGAAAAAATGGTTAGTGCTAATGGGCTAATGTGCTGTACTGCAAAGTCGTTGGAACCACCAAGGCGGTAGTTCAAGCTCACCAGTCACTCCTTGGAAACCCCACACAGGGTCGCTATGGGTCGGAACTAACTCGACAGCATTTAACAACAATCTTCATAAAGGAAAGCACGCTTAAGGGTAGAGTAATGGAGCCTATAGGCTTGCTGAGGATTTAGGCAGAATATGTCTGTATACAAGCAGTGTATTCTAGGAAACAGGAAACATTGTTCCTTCCTCTGGTGGCTCAAATAGGTAGGCACTGAATGACTGACAGTAAAGTTGAAGGCGCTACTCAACTCAGAGGCTCCTCAGAGTTAAGGCCTGGCAAACTACTTCCAAAAGATTACAGCTTTGAAAACTCTCTGGAATACAGTCCTGCTTTGCACACATGAGGTCACTGTGAGCCGGAATCCGATGAAGGCACTAAGAACATCATCAGCCAGGGCATGTTGCTGCCAAGACCTTGGTTTGAAGATTCAGCATTAAAAATCTATGTAAAGAGAGCCCTGGGTTACCAAACAGGGCTGGATGTAAGAAAAGGAATTTAAACAATGTCTCTGTTGTTTGAGAGGTCTGAGGTACTACTTGGTATTAAGAATGTGCTTACTACAGTGGTGACAATTTAGAAAGAAGAAAAAGTGAAACACTACAATAGATGGTAAATACTGACCAATGCCCTAGTGAGAGAGAAATCAATGTTTTAGGGCATTTTAACTCATGGGTTTTGCGGATACCGGCTTTGTTCCATGGAGAGCACAGAGCCCACTTAAACTGTTGTTTTACCAGATTGTTGATAGGGTCTTTTGTTTCTAAATTTTGACCTGCTTTCCAGACTTTGGTCATCCAGAGTCTTGATTTCTGCTAGTTCTTCATTTTGTAGCATTGCTTTAAACAAACAATTGAAAACCAGAAGTATACGCAACCACCAATTCTGTAAGTACTCCGGCACAAGCCTGCTGGCTCCACTTCCACTCTGACTCCGGCAGTCTGGAAGTAACCATTTTATAAACGAGGTAGCTACCCAGGACATTCGTATGTTTGTCAGTTAGCAATGACTTAAACAACAAACTTCTCTTAATAGGACTGTCAAATAGAAAGTGTCGATTTCTATTCGAATTTCAAAGTTTCTTCTTTCTCTTGCCTTTAGAATTTTAAAGGTTCACAGTCATTAGGCATTCTGCCTCATGACTCCCAGTTTCTAGTACAATATAGCAAGTTCTGCTTATAGGACACATCTGGCTAAGAAATTAGGCACCCTTTAAAAAAAAAGTTTTGTTCATTTGTCACCATTTGGTTAAGGCAGCTTTAATTTTTCCCACTACCCTGCTCATTACTCCTTCCTGGTTCTGTTATTAAGAGAAAAGCCATTGAAATGGATCTATCACTTGGGCAAAATATAAAAAAAAGGCCAATCGTTTGACTTCAGAAGAAAGGTCTGGCAACATGCTTCTAAAGTCACAGTCTTGAAAAACCCACAAAGTGTGGTTCTCCTCCGCACACATGGGCTTACTGTGAGTTGGCAAGGACTCAGAAACACTGGGTGGGGTTTTGGTTTGTCATTTGAATACGGTTGGATACCAGACTGCAAGGAGAACTTGGGAGTCTCTTTTCTTTAGGTTAAACATAGGTAGAGTTAAGTTTGTTAAATGAATAAACAATGACTTGTTTAAACAGCGCAGCCATTCTTTCTTAAAAATCACAAGAACACCTCCAGCACAAGTTAGGTGAACTTAGCTTTCAGATATAAGTCAAGCTGTAGAACAAGCCACTTGAAGGGCCTTTCCGTTTCACATACCTGACAGATTCCAATTAGCCTGTACTAGTTTCTGATAAAGGAGCTCTGGTAGCGTAGTGGTTACGAATCGGGCTGTGAACCTTAACGTCAGCAGTTTGAAACTACCAGCCGCTCCGCAGGAGAAAGATGAGGCTTTCTACTCCCGTAAAGATTTACACCCTCGGAAACCCTGTACAGGGTCGCTATGGGTCGGAACTGACTCAACGGCACTTAACAACAACAACAACAGTTTCTGATAGTCCTCATTGTCTCTGTTTGATTTCATTGGGCACGTCCTGTCTTTTTTCTTGGATGACACACTTCTGGATGGACCGGTGATTGGGTCTCTTTACATACCATACACTGCATGTAAAATACTTACATACCATATTTGTTGTTGTTGTGAAGTGCTGTCGAGTTGATTCTGACCCATAGAGACCCTATATAGGGTTTCTGAGGAGCAGCTGGTGAGCTTGAACCGCCGACCTTGCAGTTCAAATGGCTTTGCAGTCTGGTGCGTTAACCCACAGCGCCACACCAGGACTCCTACATACCGTATACTGCATGCAAAAGGTGTGACCACATTTTGCTACCATACTTGGTAAAAGAAAGTGCTTGGGTTTGATCCGTTTGGTAGTGAGGTTGTAGGGAAAACAAAACACACGCATTTCAGATTAGCAGAACCCTGGTCTTGCTGGGCATCAGTTTCTTCTGAGAAATGTAAATAATAGCTCCTGCTCTTGCCTGCTTTTCGGGAACAGGGAGGCTCACTGTGAGGGTGGTTTACAACTCTCTCCTAATGTCAGACCTCTTCACGGCACTTTACACATCACTTCATTTAAGAATTCCTCTATTGGGCCCCATATAGGGCTGCTGAAGGACTACTCAATGGGTCATATTCAACAGGAGCTTCCTACACCTCTGTTTTGCATTTTTACACACAGTGGGGAGACAACACAAAGGAGAGAAAGCAGACAGATTTATTAGGAAAGGCCTGAGACATCCTCTCTGATGAGGAAGCCAGATCCCTTTCACCACAAGACGGTTATTGAATAAACCCCAGCAATGGAGAGACCATGAGGCAGCATGAGTGGTAGGGGGACGATCCAGTGTATCTATGAGTGTAAACACCTGTCCGTCACCTTGCAGGAGTAGTAAGAAGCAGGGACCTTACTCAGCATTCTCATAGCTCAGATCATCTCCAAGGGCAAAAGCTCTTTATTACAACAGAACACCGAGCTGCTGAACACAAGGAACCAAAATAGGGAGAACCCAGCTGGTTGCTCTATCATCTGACCTGGAAGGTGGCAGTAAAAACCAGCCACGGAGAACATGGAGCTCTGTGAGTGAGTGGGCACCCCACCCAAAGCCTTTGTCTTTTCTGCTTATCACCCGCAAAGGACTGTCCAGTTGTTAACTGGAGACGACTTCCTTTATAAAGGGGGCTTGTCACCTGATGTGGGCGTGGCAGAGCACGAAATGCCATTTTGCAGTGAGTCCTATATGTGCTCTCTCTTAGCACAACCTGACAAGAGGCTTACCCCAACTCCCCTTCAGATGCCCTTCAGATCAAGAGCCACCTGAAAACAAATCACCTGTCTGTGGTACACGGGAGAAAAGCAAGATCCGTGCGTAGGTTTTGGGGATCTCTAAGACAGACACGCGAAAAAGGGATACCTTCTTACAGTAAGCAACGTGTGCTTTTTGCCTGAGGAACTCAAATCCGGTGTAGAAAGTGAAGGTGCTTCGTAGACTCAAGTCCGCTTCTCAGTAGGACGCGCGATTCTGACCCTGGCGCCTGGCATGCTGAGATCGGGGGACCATAGATTCATGGAAAACGGCTCTTTCCGCGTTGCGGGGACTAGTTCCCCACCTCCCCACCTGGCGTGCAATTAATTGAGTCTTCCTTCAAGAACACCCAATTTCGGGGTCTAAAAGGAATTCGAAGCTCACCACTTCCACTAGGTGGCGCTCTGTCACTTAATCCATCTGCATAACACCCAATCTATAAATACAATCCAACGCCTTCTGAAACCGCACCACATAATAGCTCGCAGGCGCCCATTAAAATCTCAATTTGGGGGAATTGATCCTACCTCCGAGCAAATCTAATGCAATTACACTAACAGGCTGCAATCAAGGATTACATCTGAGCGATCCTCCACGTCAGCCCTCCCCCTAAATACACCTGTCCCCTAGTCCCAGCCGGATTCCTGGTATGAGCGACGGCGCGAGTCTGGCGCGGAGTCGTCGCCGTGCCAGGTCCGCCGTTTCATTTAGGGATGTTAGCGTCGCTCGAGAATCCTAGCTGTTCGCGCTCAACCCAAGTCCCGCATCTCCCAGCAGCGCCCAAGCAGAGGGCCACCTGGACCCGCGCCGCACAGAGCGCGGAGCCGACGCTCGCCCCGCGGTTCCGCAGCTGGCAGGGCGCAGCCGGGCTCAGAGTGGAAGGCGGGGGCCGGGCGACGCAGGCCAATGGGGGTTCACGGCGGGACAGCCAGGTGGCCAGCTCCGTGCGCGGCTCCGCGGGCCGGGGTGGAACTGCCGCCTAAAGAAGAGGCGGCAATGCCCGAGAGGAGCCTCCAGCACACAGTGTAAAGGACGGGTGCCGGGTCTCCCCAACTACGCGCGCTGCTGGCTGTCGGGAGAGAGCTTTAGTTTAAAAAAAAAAAAAAAGAAAAAGCGCAAATAAAAAACCAAACAAAGTTTTCTGCCAAGAGTTCGAGCGATAGCGGTGCAGTAAAGCGCCAAATTCAGGCAAGTTGGGAGCAAGACAAGACGCGCGGTCGGAGGATCAGGGCCCCGCCAAGTGTCTCCGGCGCCTAGTGGACGTCGATCGCCCGGCCCACCCCGCTCCCGTTCGCGCTTACCTTGGGGGCTGCATGAGCCCGCGCGGCCCTCGGGCGGTGGGGGTGGCACTGGCGGGGCTGACGGCGACGACGGGGTACCAGGGCTCTGCTCGTCTACCCCGGGGCCAGATGGGAGGGGCTCGGCTAGCGTTCGGCCCCGCCGCCCGAGCCGGTTTAGCAGCAGCCCGGGGCGCGCCTGCTCCCGGGCCGCATGCCTGCGAGCGCCTGGAGGAGCCTTCCCCACCCAGCGGCTCCGGCAGCGCAGCCCGCGCTCGGGAGTCAACTGCAGAGCCGGGCGGCCCGGCCCGGCCCCCTCCTTCGCCCGGGCCCCGCCCGCAGTCACCGAGCGCCGCGCGGGGAGGTTGGTTTGCTCGCCGAGGGGAGGGGGCGGGCCGGGCGCCCTGGACGCGGGCGGGGCGGTCGGGGAGGGGGCGGGAGAGGGAGTCGGGGTGAGAGCTCGAATTGCCACCTCCCCGTCTCAGCCCCACCCTCCCTCATCAGCATCAATTTTGGGGAGGAAGTGTGCGTACGCCCGCAAGGAGACTTTCCTAAACGCACGGGTTCGGGGTATGCCGGCACCAAGTGCGGCGACCCCCCCCCCCCGACCCCAGAGCCTCCCAACTTTCCGACCCCCCCGCTGGAATGTTGTGGAGAACTAGATTTCCACCTTCAGCTCCTTAATGTCTCAAGGGGAGTTACTCTGAGCTTTCCCTCCTGGGGAAACGCTGCTGCGATCTGCTGGAACGCACCTTTGTTCTATTGAGATGTTATTTTTGTTTAAGAATCTACTTAAAAAAATCAATACATATGCATTAGATGTGCAATGCACGAATCCGTTCCTGAATACAATTTGACACAACACAGGAGTATCTGGAGTAAAAAAAAAAAGAGACGCTATATCGCGCCCTCTCAGTATCGCTTTGGTTTTTCAGAGGTAACCTCGGTTAGGGTGTGCTCCGCCGAGGTTCTTTCCAGCCCTTGTTCTGCGCATTTACACGCACTCACTTATTGCAAGTGGATTCCACCGGCTTTTCAAAAGAACATTCCAACCTGCTGTGCAGGCTCTACACCACACACCATGGGAGAAACGGCGGCGTCCGCAGAGGTAAATCCCTGGAGGCTCCGGGAACCCAGGAACCCAGGGAAGGACTCCTGGTTGTTCGAATCTGGGAGACAGCAAAGAGACACCCAAATCGCCATGTGCAGATCTGAAACTCCAGCGGGAGCGTGGAGTCAGCTTGGACACAGCCCTCGCCCGAATTAGCATTGCACTGCTCAAGAAACTTGCCAGGACATTTTAGACAGGGTTATGACCTTCCCATTCTTACAGACTGCCTTGGATTTTGATATGATGAGAACTCTTTGGATTTTAAAAAATGAAAAGGTATTATCCACAATGAAAGTTGATCCTTATTGGTGCTGGTCTTCAGGGATGTGGTTTTAACTCACTAGTCTTTTGAGTTTATTGGCTCAAGTGGAGTAAACTACAGCTGGGATATAAATAAAATCCATGTGATTTAGTAGGAAGGGGTTGGGCGTTGGGCTCTTTGGTTTCAAGTTCTGGCTTTGTTTATAATTAGCTCTGACCTTTGACAAATCATTTAGCTCTGCTAGGCCTCAGTTTCCTCACCTATAAATAGAGGACTTATACTAGATGGTTTGTGTGTGTGTGTGTGTGTGTGTGTGTGTGTCTTTCAGCTGTAACCTTTGGTGAATAACACATCCTTTCTTGTTCATCTTTTATACAGTTTAGCCCCAACATCATTTCCTTAGAGAAATTCCCTCCTCTATGACCCCCGGAGGAATATAGAAGACTTTCTTTTCTACCAGGGTTCACACTCTAATTATGCGTTCACTATGGGGACCCTTCCATTGGTGTTGACCTCTCGGGTAGGAACCACCACCTTTTACTGTCACTATTGATCTGGGCACTTAGTACAATGCCTGACATTCCACAAGAGTCTCTAAATGTGCTTCACCATAAGATAGAGTTCTTACTGCCGTCCTAAACAACTTGGCGTTTTTCAAAAATCTAAGTGGAACACCTTTTTTTAACATGAAGTCTTTGAAAAGTACCTAGAAAGGTTTTCCCATCTTGGAGGACAAACAGCCCACTGTCTAGGATGAGGACAGACAACTCTTAGTTGAACCACAGGGCTGTGGAGGGGGCCAGCAGCTATTTACCTTGATGAGTGTAGATGGCTACAGGGAAGAGGAGGAATATTAATGATGTTCATTAAGTACTTGATTAAGTTGGAACAACGGGAATAGGCAGTTGGAATACACACATGAGCACTCAGAGTTAAATGGGACTGTGGGATATGTTTAGGGTGCAAATTAGCAAATGTATATTAGAAACCTAATTCAAAACTCCAGGGAATCTTTACAGCAAAGTGCCTAAACTTGGTAAAAGTGTGAACAAGAAATGGCTAAACTTGGTCCAAAAAAAAAGAGAAACCAAACAGAACTTCTTGCCACTGAGTAGGTTCATAAGAACCCTAAATGATTGAGTAAGAACCATCCCATGGGGTGACCAAGGCTGTAATCTTTCATGGGAGTCCTTGTGTGGTGCTGTGGGTTAATGCGCTGCACTGCAATATTGGCTTGATCTGCAAGGTTGGTGGTTAAACTCACCATCTGCTCCTCAGAAATCACTGTGTGTGGGAACCAACTCGACAGCACTTACCAACAACAACAACAACAACAACATTCTTGAATGGAGAGTCCTGGTGTGGTGCTGTAGGATAAGCACTGGACTGTAAAGTCAGCTTGACCCTATACAGGGTTGCTATGAGTCGTAATTTTAACAACAAGAACTATCTTTAAGGGAACAGACTGCAGCACCTTTTTCTCTCCAGGCTGGTGGTGAGTTCCAACTGTGGACCCTTTGGTTAGCAGCTGAGCACATGACCACAGCAGCCCCGGGTCTTCCTGACTTTGGTATGAGACTTACCAAAAAGGAGGGTGACCATTAAAAGGCAGGTTGCGGGTGTGAATACCTAATGCAGTTTGAGACTAATATCTACCTTGCAGTATCTCGTGTCCAATATGCATTGCCAAGGGAGAGTTTAAAGTCTGTCCTTACATTTATAGAGAGAAGCAGGGGTCTACAGACCCTTTTGTGAGGAAATCCTTCTCCTCACTCGCCTGATCCACCCTCGATGCCACTTTTGGACATCCTCAGTTTAGTGCCACTGAGAAGGCTGTTGTGTAGCCAGGCCTGGGGGGCTGCAATCTGGTGTCAGGGGCTTCTCCTGAATGGACCACACCCAGCAGGGGAAAAGTACCAGGTGTGGGACACTGTGCTGGCACCCCAGATCAGTGCACCCTCACCTTGTGCATTCCTGGTGAAAGTGACACAGACTTTGTCCTAGCTGGTAAAACAATGCCAGTGGGAACTACCGCGACTCTATAGGGTTGGTACTCACTCAGGCTGTGCCTTTGGGGTTGGGGTTCAAGAACAACTCACATTGGGTGCCAGGACCATTACATCTTTCTGAATTTATTCAGCTTCAATACTCAAAGCGCAGTTTAATGGAGAAAACATGAGCCTATTAAGAAAGGAAGGACTTAGGGTCCCACCCTTGAATGTGGGGTGGGAGTGGTTGTTGAGGGGTGTTTGTTTTGTACAGACTAGAAGAAGCTGTGCTTCCCTCTAGGTCAAAGGTGTTCCAGGTATTCAACACTCACAACGACATTGTTGATTTTAGTGTATAGATGACGGGGAAAGAGGGAGAGGGTTCAAGGCAGGGGAATCCCAAGAACAAAGGCACAGGGACAGGGAGAAGCAGGCACGGTGAAGAAGGAGTGATGAAGTCTAGTAGCTGAAATGTGTGCACGGGAAAAGAGACATGTGACAGAGAGGGGAGGTTAGGGCCATGCTGTGGAGCATCTTGATTGGAGAGAAAGCAGTAGGGAGCCATTGGAGGTTATAGAGAAGAGGCATGATGTAAGTGAAGTTTTCAGGTAGGTTAATGGTGGCTACTTTGGAAAGACAGGAGGCAGAAGGCCAGCTAAAAGATTCTTCTGTTAATCTTGGCAAGATGTTATCGAGAGCATGACTTGAGGTGCTGAGACTCCTCAGGAAGGTATTAAGTTGAAAGAAGTGGAAGAGGAAGGCCCATCAAAGTGCTGTTGTTGTTGTTGTTAAGTGCCATCGAGTCGGGTCCGACCCATAGCGACCCTGTACAGGGTTTCCGAGGGTGTAAATCTTTACGGGAGTAGAAAGCCTCATCTTTCTCCCGCGGAGCGGCTGGTAGTTTCGAACCACTGACCTTAAGGTTCGCAGCCCGATTCGTAACCGCTACGCTATCAAAGTGCTGGAGGTGGTTAATTACAGGAACTGGAAAGGCATGAGGAAAAGCTTAGAAGGAGCTTAGATGGCTATCACATTAACCCAGTATGGTCTCAGCATGGCTGGGAGCCCAAATGATACTGAACAAATCACCATATTTGAGAGTCTATAAGGACTTCTGCTGTGGCTCTGTAGGATAAGCACAGGACTGCAAGATCGGTTTGAACCACAAGGTCGGCGGTTCAAACTCACCAACTGCTCCTCAGAAACCCTATACTGGGTCATTATGAGTTGGGACTAACAGGAAAGCACTTAACCACAACTGCCACCAACCACTCATATTACAGAGTCCTGGTGTGGTGTTGTAGGATAAACACTGGACTGCTAACCACAAGGTCGGTGGTTCAAATCCACCAGTCATTCCTTGGAAACCCTGTACAGGGTCGCTATGAGTTGGAACCGACTGGATGACACCGAACAACACATATGTTAGAGCTAAAACCCCAGTACCTGTGTCCATCCTAAGAAAAGAAATTAATTCAGTGGAGTTTCTGGGTGGGGCAGACAGCATATTTGACTGTTAGCTGGACGGTTGGAGGTTTGATTCCACTCAGAGATGCCTCAGTAGGCCTGTGGTCTACTTCTGAAAACTCACACACTGAAAATGCTATAGAACACAGTTCTGTTCAGACAGACACGGTGTAGCCATCAGTTGGAGTCGGCTCCACAGCAATGGTAAACAGTTACACATCACTGTTTCTCTTTAGACTTTCTTTCCCAAATGCCAGTTATTTGCA